TTTTTTTTTGAGATGGAGTCTCGCTCTGTCGCCCAGGCTGGAGTGCAGTGGCACAATCTTGGCTCACTGCAACCTCCGCCTCCCAGGTTCAAGCAATTCTCTTGCCTCAGCATCCTGAGTAGCTGGGATTACAGGCACGTACCACCATGTCAGGCTCATTTTTGTATTTTTAGTAGAGACAGGGTTTTACTTTGTTGGCCAGGCTGGTCTCAAACTCCTGGCCTCAAGTGATCCGCCTGCCTCAGTCTCCCAAAGTGTTGGAATTACAGGCGTGAGCCACCGAGCCCAGCCGTCAAGATTTTGGATTTCTTTACCTTATTCCCGGTGGAATTCTCTGATCCACGCGGGTTACTTTACACAGGGCACTGCTGTAACCTCTTACAAGTGACACCTCTTGTAACACCTGAGCCTCTAAGCCTGACATGGAGGTGGGCAGAGATGCTGGCCCAGCTTGGTGTCTGGCCCAGGCTTCACATCCCTGGCCAGACACTTGCCCCCACCCCAAGCCCAGTGGCCTCCTGGCCAGCACTCACGCGCAGTGACGGCAGGCTGGACAGCTCCCCATGAAGCGTGGTCAGGTTGTTGTGGCTCACAGACAAGTGTTCCTGGGCCGGGATGGGAAGCAAAGGCTCAGCAGGGTACGTTGGGTGTCCAGAGTTCCCGCCTACCTCCACAATTCTGCACCATCCAGGAAGGCCTCAGCCACACAGGCCCAATTCCCCAAGCAGCCTCCCTCCCTCACAGACCTGGCCTCTTTTTGCATACCTCCCTGGATAGGGTGCCCACTCCCTTTCTGCCGACTTTGCTCATAGCTGTCAGTGTTCTTCCTCTCTCTGGAGAATTTGTCTGCTTTCTCCACAAACTCTGCCCATCTGGCTCATCCATAGGGACCCTCCCTGCCTGCCCAAAGCCCCTTACCAGCTTCTGCAGGGCAGCCAGCTCCTCGGGCAGGTAGCAGAGGCCAGTGCGGTTCAGCTTCAGCCATCGCAGGCTGGTCATGGCCTTGACATTCTCAGGGAAGTAGCCGCCCTAGGGGAAGGATGTGATGGTGAAGCTGGCCTGGGATACGGAGCCCCTGCTCACCACCTTCTATGGCTCCCACTGCCCACACGAGCTTCTGGGGAGTAACAGAACCAACTCCCACCAGCTGAGAGAACACAGACAGGTCATTTCATCACTGTGCCTCAATTTCTTCACCCATAGAATGGGACTAATAAAAGCCTCCCTTTCACCGTGACAAAAGTGTTGGCCTAAGATCTGTCTCTGCTACTGGACTGTGGGCCCTGGGAGGACCAGGACAAAACTGGCTTGTTTCAGATGAGAACCTAGCACCTGGCTTTGTGGGCAGCTCGGCTCAAATTCCTCCACCCAGCATTCCACGCTCTGACTGGCTGCCTGGGGTGGATGCTCCCCGCTTCAAGCCTTTATGAAGGACCCACCTGTGCCCTCACCCTGCCATCAGCACACAGGCAATTCATGGTCAGGGCGAAACCCTTGCTTGGGGAGACCATGGCTCCCCACCCCACATCACTGCACTCCCCCCACCCTTGTGAATGCCCACTTCGGCATCTCCAGCCCTGTGGCACCAAGTCTGGGGCAGCACGTGCCCGCGGCTGGTGTTCCTTTCCCCCCAGGGCCACATTCCCAGCTGGTGACTCAGACTCTCCCAGCTCAGTGAAGAGGAACAGCAGAGACCCCAGGTAAGGGTGGTGGGGATGGGGACAGAGAAAAGTGGTGTGGCCACCTGTACTTGGGGTCGAATGTGTGTACACAAGCAGGTAAACTCAGGAAAAACCTGCCTCCTTGGCCCCAGCCCCAGACCGACAGCCCAGCCAGACCCTGCCGGTCACCCACCCTGAAGGTGAGGCTGCCCCTCCAGCCAGCTCTCCCCTCCCCTCTTTCTCTGCTTCCCCTTCGGTTGGGCAATGCCCGCTTCATTCGGAGCCCTGGAACCACCTCCCTCCCCACCCACTGGTTGCGGAGGGCTGGGCTGCCGTCCCTTGTCTCTCTCAAGCCAGCAGCTGCTCAGACAACTGCCACCCAGCACCTGGCACGCCGGCCTGACACACTCTCCACACCAACAAATCTCATTACACCCCTTGCGTCCAAGGAGGCGACTCTGAAGCCCCTTCACCGGCTGAGAAAGCCCGGGCTCTGAGAGGGGAAGTGATCCGAGAGGCCCAGGATCACACAGGATGGCGGGTGGCGGCGGCGGGGAGAGGGCAGTGACGAGTCGGTTCCACACCCGCCCCTGGGCAGCCGGGCCGCCATCCCTGAGTCAGGGCCTGGCTTGGGCGTGTGACCTCAGAAGGGCGGGGAGCCTCGCCGACCCCTAGGCCACCGTCCGGCCCAGGCGGAGAACACGGACGCGGGGTTGGGGCTCCCGGCCAGGTCCCCGGCGAGACTCCGAGCCCAAGCGTCCGACCTGGGCCTGACGGGCCTCGGTCTCCCGGTACAAGCACCTGGAAGAGTCCTCGGAAGTCCATTCGTGACCAGCGGAGAGACCCACCCCGCTCCGGCCGCAGTCTCGGGGACGCGCAGGGCCCGGAGCCGGGCGGGACAGGAAGCGAGGGCCCGGCTGGCCGGGCGGAAGAGAAGGCCTGCAGGGAGGCCCGGCCCGGCTTACCTTGAAGTCGTTGCCGCTGAGGTCCACACCGCGCACGAACGGCAGCACCCCGGTGGCCTCCATGGCGCCGCTCTCGCTGCCTGGCCGGGCCGGGCTAGGGGGACGCCCGGGCGAGGGCTGAGGGGAGCCGCGGGCTGGGCCAGCGCCGGCTCCGCCCCTTTAACCCGCCCGCGCCCGCCGCATTCCGCCGGGAAGTGTAGGCTTTAGGCCTCTTAGGGCCTCAGTTTTTCCGTCTTTTCGGGGACTGCAGAGCCATCAGGGAGTCCCGGCGCCCCCTGTGCTGGAGCTGGAGGCTTCCGCAATCTCCAGGCTTAAATTCCGAGTCCCAGGGCAGGGGCCTTCACGGCCGCTGGTCCAGGCATGGTCCCCTGCGCTGCTGTAGCAGACGAAGCTGGCCCTGACCTTGGAGAGATTCTAAACCCCGGCCCGGGGCGCAGGGACTCAGGAAGTGCCTGCACTTGGCTGACCGGTGGTAGTGAGACACCTGGGTCCTCGGGTCCTAGCTCTCCTGCTCTGGACGTAGTTTCCTCATGTGTTGTTTTTATTTTGTTGACACAAGGTCTTGCCCTGCCGCCCAGGCTGGAGTGCAGTGGCGTGATCATAGTTCATTACAGCCTCCAACTCCTGGGCTCAGCCTCTCGACTAGCTGGGAGAACACCACCACACCTGGCTAAATTTATTTTTATTTTTGGTAGAGATGGGGGTCTCACTATGTTGCCCAGGCTGGTCTTGAACGCCTGGCCTCAAGTGATCCTCCGGTCTCAGCCTCTCAGACTGCTGGGATGACAGGCGTGAGCCACTGTGCCCGGCCCAGTTTCCTCATTTGTAAAATGCTTCCTAAGTTTGTCGCCATAAGCAAATGAACAAAGAATGCAAGTGTAGCTTGCAGCATACAGGCGCTCAGTGAGTGACAGGTTATTACTCCGTTTTGTTTTTTTATTCTGTGTGCCAGGTTATTATTCCCCTAGTGTCAGCACCACTACGCTCGTGTCCCCCAAAGGGAGGCTCTAGAAGAGAAGCATCCGTCTTGGTCCCTGCTGTTCACAGGGGCTCGCCCTGGCCGACACATAGCAGGCCCCCAAAACATGAGCCACAGCTGTTACATGACTAGCCACCCTTCGCAGGGGAAGAGGGGGTCTGGTCTCCCCATTTTACAGGAGAAAAACTGAGGCCCATGTGGAGAATGGCCCACACAAGGTGGCACGGAGCAGGTGGCAGGGGTAGGCGCTTTCGCCACACTGTGTGCCCCGCAGGCCCACAGGTTAAGAATGAAGCCACCGAGACACTCTCGCAGAGGTGACCTAAGAGGTTGGATGTGCCAAGCCTCTGGCCATGTGCAGCCTCTCTACTCGGCCCCCGGAAGTAACGGGGGCCCAGACAGCTTCCTCCACACTCGACGCTCACATTACAACGCACAGGCGTCCGAGAAGGCCGCCTGTCATAGCACCCGGTCGCGGGCTCGGAATGCAGCCCTGAACCTTTAAATCCAGACTGCGTCAGGGAGTCCCGCCCCGAGGGAGCGCGTCAGTCGGCTGGGGGGCGGGGCCTACCCTTCATTGGCTGAGCCGCACAGTATTTTGGCACCCGTGTGCTGGATTCCAGCGCTCCGATTGGAGACAGGGTCTGCTTGTCTGCGTCCTGCGGCTTCAGCGGCCGCCCCCGGGGCCCTCGACGTTGGGTTCCAGGGTCCTTCTCGTTCCATTCCCAGGAGGGTCCGAGCTCAGGGGCCGTGGTTCCGCTGCCTCCTCCGGTCGTTGTGTGGACGCTGCGACGCAGGTATGGCTGGAGGGCGGCGGGGCGGCCCCTAGAGTCAACGGGCCCGGGGCTGGGTGCGCTACGGAACGCAAGTCGGGGGCGTGGCCCGCGGTCGCGGCTGGGGAGGGCGGGGAAGGTTTGATGACCAAGGCCCACGTTCGAATCCCAGCCCGGCCCCCTTCCCCTCTTGGTCTCTCGGTTTCCCTGCGAACAGGGCGTCACCCGCTCACCTAGGGCTGCTGCGCGGCCTGCTCAGCCCAGGCCCAGGGCAGGCGGGTTTGGCGGAGGAGGAGGAGGAAGGCCAGAGGGCCTCCAGGGCCCCGGTGCGCAAACTCGGGTTATTTTCAGCCACCGGTGCCCTCTCCCGCTTCTAGGAGCTGGAAGGCTGTGGGCTGAGGCCTGCGCGACCCCGCCAGTGGTGGGCCTGAGTCCCAATTTAGACAGGTTGGGAATATTTAAAGCGCTTTACAGTTTGAAAAGTAGATTCCTGGTCTTTCCGGGGTCGGGTGGCAGTATTGATCCCCGTGTCACAGATGAGGAGGCTGAAACCGGCCCTGGGGCTGTAGCGGGTCACCGGTTGGCCTGGGATTGCCCCAGAGACCCGTCTTATTTTTAGTCTGGAACGAATGGGCGGGTGTCCGGGGCTGAGTCACACAGCACTTAAGGCTTCAGCTACTGCAGGCATCTGGTCACCTGGCAACTGAGCCCCTGGCACTGACACTCTGGCAGGGCAGGTAGAAGTCCTTGGTGCCCAGGCAGGCTGTGACCTCATGGTCATCTGCTCAGGCCTCTCTGGGAGAGTTCTGCCTGGTGTCTAACTGATGTCCTAAGGTCACAGCTCCTCTCAGCTCCCAGGACCTGAGGGCAGTGTCCCGCTCCCAGAACGTGAGGCTGGGAGTTGGTGGACTCGGCCGAAGGAGATCTTTGCCCCCACCTCCCAAGTGTAGGGCCCCACCCAGCCCCACACTGCTGCCTATGCCATCTTACAGGTGAGCAAACAGGCTGGGACCCAGGCCCTCACCTTACCTTCTCCGTTGCTTGGCCTCCTAGCAGCTGAGAAGCATCACCCACCACCACCAAGACTGAGAGGCCCAAAGAGCCCACTGTACAGAGGTCCTGGGCAGCCCTTTTTCTGGGTCTTGATCTTTTAGGTCGCCTTGCTTGCTGCCCTGCCGGAGGGGCCTCAGCCCTGACTTGCATGTCTTCACTGGCCTGCCTGGGCAGCTTGGGCCATCTCACTCTGCCTATGCTCTGACTTGGTAGCTCTGCCTCTTGGGGCTACCCCGTCAAGATTTGGGGGGTAACTGGTCCCAGAGGTCCCCCAGACTGGTGAGGGCCCCAAATTGTTGGTCTTCTCTGGACTTTGGGGTCTTCTCAAGAGGTGTCATAGAGGGCTGCTGTGTCCTCTGGTTAGGAACCTTCAGATGAGGCTCCTGCTGAGGACCTGGCCACCTGGCACAGGGAGGATCCGTCAGGCTCTGGGGGCGGATGAGAGTCTGGAGGCCTTGTAGTTGGGGGTTGGAGGCCTTACCACTCACTGTGCAATCTGGCAGCCTGGCGCTCTGTAAAATACGGGTGGTGATGATAAGACCCACCTTGCAGGTCTCTGGTGATGTCAGAGGTCCTGGAGGATAGGCCCCTTCCTCGGCACAAGCCTCAGGGCCTTTATGAGCTGCTTTCCAGGGGGTGAGTTGTTTGCAGCTTTGAGAGAAAGGACTTGGCAGCTCCCTCATCTTGTGAGAGATGGGGACTTGGGGCCCCAAAACCCATGTTCATATCCCAGCCCTGCCCTTTCTCAGGTAATTTACATGGTTCCCAGGACCTTGGTGTCCCCCCCTGTGGATGGGTCCCTTTCTCATGAGAAATTCTCAGAAAGCCCCCCCTTATGGGCTCAACTCTGTTACCCAGCTTAAGGACAGCCAGAGCACCTGTCCACAGCAGCCCCTCTACCAGCCTGGCCACCTGCACCCTGAGCTGTCCCTTCACCCCTGGCTCTCTTACAGGCAGACCATGGCAGAGTTCTCCCAGAAACGAGGGAAGCGGCGTGGCGATGAGGGGCTGGGCAGCGTGGTGGACTTCCTCCTGGCCAATGCCCGTCTGGTGCTGGGTGTGGGCGGGGCTGCCGTGCTGGGCATTGCCACCCTGGCCGTGAAGCGGGTAAGGCCAGGCTGGTCCGGTCATGACTGAAGCTCCTAGAGGAGGACAGGGTTGGGCCTTGCAGAGGGGCCCTGGGGAGGGGTGGGGACTGCCCAAGGCCTTCATGGGAGCCCAGGGCACCTGCTTCTCCACCCCAGCACCCTGGTCTGTTTTGCCCCTGGGCTTTGCTGTGGCTGCCCAGACTTCATCTTCTCTGTATGACTCTGCCTGCAGTTCATTGACAGGGCCACTAGCCCACGGGATGAGGATGACACCAAGGGAGACAGCTGGAAGGAACTGAGCCTGCTCAAGGCAACGCCACACCTGCAGCCCCGGCCTCCACCAGCTGCCCTCAGCCAGCCTGTGTTGCCCTTGATCCCCTCGCCTTCTGCCCCAGGTAAGTGGCATTCCTTCCCCTCTCACGTTGGTGAGTACCCTTTTGTTGTCACATTTGAGAGACGAAGCCCAGGCTCTGCCCTGACTGTATGACCCTGCGCAAGTCCCTGCTTTTCTCTGGGTTTCGGGCTCCTCAGACATTTAATGGGGGTGGTGTTTCTTTGCCCTGCTCCTGCAGCAAGGTGGCAGTGTTGTGATGGTGGAGAGCTTTAGATGGGGAAACTGAGGCCCAGAGGGGCATGACCTGCCAAACTCCTCTGCATGAAGCTGTTTTAGCCATAGGGTCAGGGTGTTGGACTCTGGGGCAATGAGAACTCGTCACCAAGCGCTCACTATATGTGAGGACCTGGACTGAGTGCCTTCCCAGGTGAGGACAGTGAGGCCCCAGGACAGCACACAGCTAGTCGTTGGGTAGCGTTTTCTTAACTAATCACAGGCTGTTCCAGCATGTTCCCCGCCCCTTCACTCTGCAGAGGAGCCTGCAGAAACTGATCTTCAGGTGACACCACAGCTCAGCTCCCCAGCACCGCTGTGTCTGACGCTGCAGGAGAGGCTGCTGGCCTTCGAGCGGGACCGTGTGACCATCCCAGCAGCCCAGGTGGCTTTGGCCAAACAGCTGGCTGGCGACATTGCCCTGGAACTGCAGGCCTACTTTCGGAGCAAGTTTCCAGAACTGCCCTTTGGGGCGCTTGTGCCTGGGGGCCCACTCTACGATGGGCTGCAGGCGGGGGCTGCTGACCATGTGCGTCTCCTGGTGCCACTGGTGCTGGAGCCGGGCCTGTGGAGCCTGGTGCCGGGCGTGGACACTGTGGCGAGGGACCCTCGCTGCTGGGCTGTGCGCAGGACTCAGCTGGAGTTCCGCCCCAGAGGGAGCAGCCCCTGGGACCGCTTCCTGGTGGGGGGCTACCTCTCCTCCCGCGTCCTGCTGGAGCTGCTGCACAAGGCACTGGCTGCCTCCATCAACTGGCCAGCCATCGGCAGCCTGCTTGGGTGCCTGATCCTGCCCAATGTGGCCTCGGAGGAGCTGCTGCTGGAGGTGCGGCATGAGCGCCTGGAGCTCACTGTGGCCGTGCTTGTGGCAGTTCCTGGGGCCGAGGCCGATGACCACCTCCTCCTGGCCTGGCCCCTGGAGGGGCTGGCAGGGAACCTCTGGCTCCAGGACCTGTATCCAGTGGAGGCTGCTAGGCTGCGAGCCCTGGATGACCGTGATGCTGGGACCCGCCGGCGGCTGCTGCTGCTTCTGTGTGCTGTCTGCCGTGGCTGCCCGGCCCTGGGTCAGCTGGGCCGGGGCCACCTGACCCAGGTGGTCCTGCGTCTGGGGGAGGACAACGTGGACTGGACGGAGGAGGCCTTGGGCGAGCGCTTCCTGCAGGCCCTGGAGCTGCTCATCAGCAGCCTGGAGCAGGCCAGCCTGCCCTGCCACTTCAACCCCAGCGTGAACCTCTTGAGCAGCTTGCGGGAGGAAGAGATTGACGACCTTGGCTATGTGCTATACAGTGGCCTACAGAAGCCCGAGGGGCTGCTCTAGGTGGGTGGGAACAGGTGACTGGCATGTTTTCTGATGTTGGGAAGCTGCGCCCACCTCCCTTGCAGGGATTTGGAGGGTGTTTTTTTTCTAGCTTTCAGCCAGAACAAAAGAGGGTACCTTACTTAAACCCAGGGCAATATGTGCTTGGGCTATGGTGACTGTAAACCCTGAGCCCAGAGAGCTTGGGTCACTGTCACCTGAGTGTGGCTGGGCTGCCTCAGGCAGCTTGGAGTGCCAGCCATTCACGCAAGCACTTTTCAGCCCTGGGGGCCAACTGCAGGACCTTGGCTCTATCCATCACCAGCAACGAATCCAAATGTGGTTTCTGCCATCCTGGGCAGGGATGAAGTCCAGCTTCTCATTTCTGCTGAGAGAAGGTGACTTTACGCCTTCTCCGTCCCCAGCTCCAGGTGTTCTGAGGCGTCCAGTGCCTGGTGGTAGGTATGGTGTGTTCTGTCCCCCAGGGGCTAGAGTCACCTGGTGCCCCTAAAGGACAATTTTTTGGCTGTTAAAGGATGGCGTTTTCCTGCTCTCTTCTGTGTGTTTAGTTTTCTTGCTGTGTTCTCGAGCCCTGGAGCAGGAGCTCAGGGTCACTTGCCACCCGCCTGATAACTCAGCGCAAGGGCCCTTTTCCCTCCGACCAGGTGAGTGTTTTCTTCCGGCAGCCGACGGCCCTGGAAGAGCCCCCTCCTTCCTGGGGGAGCTGAGGCTCTGAGCTGCACTCCCTACCCCACAGCTGGGGCATCCCACTGGAGCTGTTCCAGGCCCCACTGCAGAGCAGGGGACCTGTCTCCCCACCAGAGAGGTCCGGCCCAGAGAGCCGGCCCCTCAACGTGCCAAAATGAACTACTCTCAGCTGATGTCTGTATTCTGACTTTGAAGCCTGTTAGAGGGAGCAGGGGGTGCTACAGGAGGGAGATTCCACCTCCCCTCCCAAGTGACCCTCCTCCTGCCTCTGGTATCCTTCCTGCTGAAACGAAGCTCTGCTTCGAAGATGTGAACAATAAAAGGAAAACATTCTAATGTATGTGTAACTCAGGCTGGATAAGGGGGTCTTGGCGTTTTCCTACGCAGCTGTTTGGGGTTTTCTCTAAGTCCTGTGGCTTGTCCTGGCACCTTGGCAAGAGCGCTCGAGGTGAATTGGTGGTGGTAGAGTTTACTTTAAAAAGTAGCATCTAGGGGGCCGGGCGCGGTGGCTCAAGCCTGTAATCCCAGCACTTTGGGAGGCCGAGGCGGGTGGATCACGAGGTCAACAGATCGAGACCATCCTGGTCAACATGGTGAAACCCCGTCTCTACTAAAAAAAAAAATACAAAAAATTAGCTGGGCATGGTGGCGCGTGCCTGTAATCCCAGCTACTCAGGAGGCTGAGGCAGGAGAATTGCCTGAACCCAGGAGGCGGAGGTTGCAGTGAGCCGAGATCGCGCCATTGCACTCCAGCCTGGGTAACAAAAGCAAAACTCCGTTCAAAAAAAAGAAAAAAAAAAGTAGCATCTTAGGCCAGGCATGGTGACTCACACCTGTAATGCCAGTACTTTGAGAGGCCAAGGCAGGTGGATCACCTGAAGTGAGGAGTTTGAGACCAGCCTGACTAACATGGTGAAACCCCGTCTCTACTAAAAATACAAAAATTAGCTGGGCGTCGTGCTGTGCACCTGTAATCCCAGCTACTTAGGAGGCTGAGGCAGGAGAATTGTTTGAACCCAGGAGGTGGAGGTTGCAGTGGGCTGAGATCGTGCCACTGCACTCCAGCCTGGGTGACAGATGGAGACTCTGTCTCAAAAAAAAAAAAAAGTAGCATCTTAGTCTGTTTGAGCTGTGATAAAATGTCAGACAGGATGGCACCATAAACATCAGAAATTTATGTCTGACTATTTTGGATGCTGGAAATCCAAGAGTGAGACACAGATCCCATGTCTGGTGAGGGCCCACATCCTGGTTCATAGGTGTCCCCATCTAGCTGTCCTCATGTGGAGGAAGTGGGGACATCCTCTCCTAGGGTCTCTTGTAAAGGCACTGAGCCTACCCACGGCGGGGGTCCACACTCATGATCCAGTCACTTCCCAGAGTCCCCATCTCCTGTTAGCAGCCCCATGAGGGTTAGAATTTCAGCATACAAGTTTTAGGGAGACACAAACTTTTTTTTTTTTTTTGAGATGGAGTTTCGCTCTGTTGCCCAGGCTGGAATACAATGGTTTGGTCTTGGCTCACTGCAACCTCCGCCTCCCAGGTTCAAGTGATTCTCCTGTCTCAGCTTCCAAGTAGCTGGGATTACAGGTGTCCGCCACCACGACCGGCTAATTTTTGTATTTTCAGTAGAGACATGGTTTCACCATGTTGGCCAGGCTGGTCTCAAACTCCTGACCTCAGGATCTACCTGCCTCAGCCTCCCAAAGTGCTGGGATTACAGGTGTGAGCCACCGCGCCCAGCTGGGGGACACAAAGTTTCTGTCCATGACAAGTAGGGTATGTGGAAGGAAAATCTGAAAAGCTTGGTGTTGCTTTAGTAATGGGAACCAGCCAGTTTGGGCTCTTTCTTCCTGAAAGGCTGAACTGACAAACCCTGCACCTTATTTTCTGGAATTGGTGGGCCGTTCACGGCCCTCCAGCCATGCCCATCAGTTTTTAGAAACCTGTGTTCTCTACCTCCCTTGCTCCCCTCTGTGGCTCCACAAGTGGGGAGGAAACTTGCCCTGCCTTGTGCAGGTGAGAGGCCAGGGCATCTTAACCCCCACAACCCTGAAGAACCAAAGCCAAGGCTCACTTCCTATCACCAGATGACAGATGTGGCCCGAGGAAGGCTCTGGGCCATGGTGCAGGGCTGCCTGTAGCCAAGCTGTGCCACTTGCATCCTGCTGGTCCTTCCTCCACTTACGTTCTGAGGACTCCCTACCCCTTCCAGCTGTGACTGCAGGACCCAAGGGAAGCAGGAGCGTGCAGAGCAAATGGGATGGTGGTGTAGGCCTCTGGGTGTTGGGTGCAGGGCAAGGGGCGGGCATGAGGGCTCCCTGCAGAGGATATTATAAGGGTCCAAGGTGGGAGACACATGGCTGAGGTCCACTCCAATCACTTGATGCTGGAGAGCTTTGAGCAATTTCCCTGGTGGTGGAGGGAGAGCACAGGACCAGCCTGGGGCAGAGCCTGTGCCTCAGTCCTCTCGTCTCTTACATCTCTTAACTGGGTGGGGATCATGCAATACCTACTCCCAGGTGCTTGTGAGGATTAACAGGTGGGCAGTGCTAACAGTGCCTAGGAACAAGGACTGGTGGGTCTAGCTGTGCCCCACCCTCCAGCTACATTCCAAGCCCCAGCATGGCAAGGCGCTCCCAGCTGCCAGGCCAGTCCCTGGTCAGAGTGCAGCTGTCCAGGAAGCAAGCTGTCCCGAGTCACTCTCCTTAGACGACCAGACCCCAACACAAGCCGGATGAGGGCCGATCTGTAGAGGCCACTTGCTTCAGGTAGCTCTAAATTTCCCTTCTCATACCATAGCTTTTTTTTTTTTTTTTTTTTAAAGAAAATGTTCAGGATGAGTTAAGAGGGAGAGAAATGTTCATGGTTTCGTCACCTAGCTAGGGTGAATGTCTGGGTCTTCCGTTTCTAGCCAGAGAACTGGAACCAAGTCACTGTCTTGCCAGCGGCTTTGCATGACCTCATGCCCTGGGCTGTCCCAGCTGATGGGCCATGGAATCCCACCCCCTCCCCTCCCCGCAATGCAAGGACAGCCCCAGCTCTGCTGGCCTGAGAGCAGGATGGGCTTGCCCAGGCTTTGGTGTCTTAACACTCAGAACCTTTGGCTGTGGTGACTCAAATTCCTTGTTTTACCTTCACCAAGTGACCCAGAGCCAGGAGCCTTGTTGACTGGCAGTGACTACCCCTGCTTAGAATGCAAGGATTGCTAGGGAAGATCTTAGAAAAAAAAAAGACTCCAAAAATTGAGAATCTAAATGTATTTCTTTGAAAATGTCACCCATAGATTCTCTACCCCTAACTCAACAATAAATTTCACCAAATAGCGTTTCCTTTGTGTAAATCCACTCATACCCACTTCTTTTCAGGCATACTTAGCTGTGGGATTGTCCTCAAAGGGGGACCATTTATTGCTGTAGAGCTGACATGTTCATTTCCATCTCTGCTGCTAAATTTAAAAAAGCAAACAAAAAAATAGGCTGGGTATGGTGGCTCATGCTTGTAATCCCAGCATTTTGGAGGTTGAAGCAGGAGGACTGCTTGAGGCCACGGGTTCAAGACCAGCCTGGGCAACATGGCCAGACCTCCTCTCTACAAAAACTAATTAGCCAGGTGTGGTGTACACTTATGGGCCCAGCTACTCAGGAGGCTGAGGTGGGAGGATGGCTTGAGTCCAGGAGGGCGAGGTTGCAGTGAGCCATGATTATGCCTGGGATTACAATCTGGTCTCAAACTCCTGGCTTCAAGCAATCCTCCCAGCTCAGCCTCCCTAAGTACTGGGATTACAGGTGTGAGCCACTGTATCTAGCCAACATTTGCTTTTTTTTTTTTTTTTTTTGAAATGGAGTCTTGCTCTGTCACTCAGGCTGGCATACAGTGGCCCAATCTCTGTTTACTACAACCTCTGCCTCCCTGTTTCAAGCAATTCTCCTCTCTCAGCCTCTTGAGTAGGTGGGATTGCAGGTGTGCACCACCACGCTTGGCTAATTTTTTATTAGAGATGGTTTGACCTATGTTGCCTGGGTTGGTCTCGAACTCTTGACCTGACATGATCTGCCTACCTCAGCCTACGGAAGTGTTGGGATTATAGGTGTGAGCCATTGTGCCCGGTCAACATATATATTTAAATCTTAATTCCTTGAGGAAGCTAAGGCTGTAGTGGACAAAACCCACGTGTGTTCCAAAGACAAACACCAGTGACTCAGGTGACCTGCACTGGGTCATCTCTGCACTGCTTGCCGAATTCCTGAGACAATGAAACCAGTTAGTTCAGCGGGCTGGGGTCTCTGGCAGGCAGGGAGGCCACTGGGCTCACTTGCTTGTATGGGTTTCAGAAGGAATCTTCCACGTTCAGACTGCAGGCCAGATCCTGACTATATTCATGTTCTCCAGAGGGACAGAACCAATAGGCTGTATGGATACACAGAAAGGAAGTTAACTGGGGAGAACTGGCTTATAGGATTACAAGGTGAAGTCCAGAATAGGACGTCTGCAAGCTGCAGAGAGAAGCCAATAGCATGGCTCAGTCTAAGTCCAAAATCCTCAAAACCAGGAAAGCCCACAGTGCAGCCTTCAGTCTGTGGCTGAAGGCTCCAGGAGGCTGCTGGTGCAAGTCCTCGAGTCCAAAGGCTGAAGGACCTGGAGTCTGATGTCAAACAGCGGGGAAGAGGAAACAAGCATCTGGCATAGGAAGAGCCTCAGCAAGCTGCCCATTCCCCTTCCACCTGCTTTGTTCTAGCCATGCTGGCCACTGATTGGATGGTGACCACCCACATTGAGGTCTTCCTCAGTACAGTAACTCATGTCGGTCTCCTCTGGCAACACACTTACACCCAATACCGGCCATCTGGGTGTCCCTGTGTGGGCTGATAGTCTAAGGTAGGGATGGGGTGCACAGATCTGTCCCAGGTAGGGATGGTCAACAGGCGAGTGGCAACATCCTGGTGAACATAGTGAGCTGGGATCACCTGTGTCCCGGTGCAAGAAACTTGGAGATCCAGCTGAATGTGAATATCCCAAGTCCTCAGCTAGATTCTAGAAGAGGCAGGTGGTGAATTCATCCCAAAGGGCAGTGGGGTCTCTGCCCAGTGACTCAAAAACCAGTGCCAATATTGCTGTTTGTGTCCCCATAAGCCTGGCCCTGGGGGGTGGGGGTACTGGATGGTGGTGACAGGGCTTTTTCTTTTTTTGAGATAGTCTCCCTCTGTTGCCCAGGCTGGAGTGTAGTGGGGCGGTCTGGGCTCACTGACTCCTGGGTTCAAGCGATTCTCTGCCTCAGCCTCCTGAGTAGCTGGGATTATAGGCACCCAGCTAATTTTTGTATTTCTAGTAGAGACGGGA